ACACCAGAAGCCCAGAACACCAGAATCCCAGAATTCCATAACTCCAGGATCCCAGAACCCTATAATCCCAGAATCCCATAAATCCAGGATCCCAGTATCCCAGAAGCCCAGGATCCCAGAACACCATAATCCCAGAATCCTATAATCCCATAACTCCAGGATGCCAGAACCCTATAATCCCAGAATCCCAGAACCCCAGAACCCCATAATCCCATAACTCCAGGATCCCAGAACACCAGAACCTCAGAATCCCAGAACACCAGATTCCAGAACACCAGAATCCCAGGATCCCAGAAAACCAGAACCCTATAATCCCAGAATCCCAGGATCCCAGAACACCAGGATCCTATAATTCCATAACTCCAGGATCCCAGAACCCTATAATCCCAAAATCCCAGAATCCCATAACTCCAGGGTCCCAGAACCCTATAATCCCAGAATCCCAGAACCCCAGAACACCATAATCCCAGAATCCCAGGATCCCAGAACCCCTGAGGCTGGACAAGCCCTCCCATGGCTCTGGAAAGTTGGGAACTCCCCTCTCCCAGGGCTCTGGAAAATTGGGAATTCTCCTTTCCCATGGCTCTGGAAGGTTGGGAGTTCTCCTTTCCCAGGGCTCTGGAAAATTGGGAACTCCCCTGTCCCAGAGCTCTGGAAAATTGGGAGTTCTCCTTTCCCAGAGCTCTGGAAGGTCGGGAATTCTCTCCCAGGGCTCTGGAAGGTCAGGAATTCTCTCCCAGGGCTCTGGAAGGTCAGGAATTCTCTCCCAGGGCTCTGGAAGGTCGGGAATTCTCTCCCAGGGCTCTGGAAGGTCGGGAATTCTCTCCCAGGGCTCTGGAAGGTCAGGAATTCTCTCCCAGGGCTCTGGAAGGTCGGGAATTCTCTCCCAGGGCTCTGGAAGGTCAGGAATTCTCTCCCAGGGCTCTGGAAGGTCAGGAATTCTCTCCCAGGGCTCTGGGAAGTTGGGAATTCTCTCCCAGAGCTCTGGAAGGTTGGGAATTCTCTCCCAGGGCTCTGGGAAGTTGGGAATTCTCTCCCAGGGCTCTGGGAAGTTGGGAATTCTCTCCCAGGGCTCTGGAAGGTCAGGAATTCTCTCCCAGGGCTCTGCAGCCCCTGGAAGGCTGCGGCTGCTCAGAGTTGGGCTGTGCTGGGTGGTTCGGATCACTGCAGGGGCTGTGCCCGGGCACTGCTGCAGGGACCCCTCTGAACACCCTGAGCAGCCCCTGAAACAGTGAACACCCTGAGCAGCCCCTGAAACACCTGAACACAGCCTGAACCACCCCTGAAACACCCTGAAAACACCCTGAAAACACCCTGAGCAGCCCCTGAAACACCTGAACACAGCCTGAACCATCCCTGAAACACCCTGAAAACACCTGAACAGCCCCTGAAACACCTGAACACAACCTGAACCTGAACACAACCTGAACCATCCCTGAAACACCCTGAAAACACCCTGAAAACACCCTGAGCAGCCCCTGAAACACCTGAACACAACCTGAACCACCCCTGAAACACCCTGAAAACACCCTGAACAGCATTTTGCTACATTTCTGCACTTTACTGCATCACTGTGTTTTGCTGCATCTCTGCATTTTGCTGCATTACTGCACATGGCAGGGCCAGCAGGGCCATGACGTCACTCCAGGGTTGTGACGTCACTCCAGAGCCGTGACGTCACTCCAGGGCTGTGACGTCATACCACAGCTATGACATCACACCAGGGCTGTGACATCATACCTGGGCTGTGACATCACACCAGGGCTGTGACGTCACTCCAGGCTTTGTTCCTGCAGGGCTATGATGTCACACCAGGGCTATGATGTTGCACCAGGGTTATGACGTCACACCAGGGCTATGACATTGCTCCAGGGCTATGACATCACTCCATGGCTATGACATCACACCATGGCTATGATGTCACTACAGGGTTGTGATGTCACACCATGGCTATGACATCACACCAATGCTGTGACATCACACCAATGTTATGACATCACACCATGGCTATGACGTCACACCATGGCTATGATGTCACTCCATGGCTATGACATCACACCAATGCTATGACGTCACACCATAGCTATGACATCACTCCAGGGCTATGACATCACACCAGGGCTATGACATCACTCCATGGCTATGACGTCACTCCGTGGCTATGATGTCACACCAGGGCTATGACATCACTCCAGGGCTATGACATCACACCAGGGCTATGATGTCACTCCATGGCTGTGACATCACAGCAGGGCTATGACGTCACTCCAGGGCTATGACGTCACTCCAGGGCTATGACGTCTGCACCCACACAGAATAACCCTGCACCCAAAATCTTACACACAAACCCCAAACTGATGTGTGACCCACACAGAATAACCCTGCACCCAAAACTAAACACACAAACCCCAAAACCGACCTGTGACCCACACAGAATAACCCTGCACCCAAAACTAAACACAGACATCCCCAAAACCCACCACAAATCTGATCCTAGCACAGCCCCAAACACAATTCCCACCACAAACACCAAATAACCACCTACAAACCCCAAACAAAACACTAACTCTGTCAGTGCTTCAATCCTCCCTCAAATGAAAAAACAAAATATAAACGTATAAAAAACAACATAAACCCATCAAAATCAATTAAAAAATTTTAAATCCCAAATAAAAAAAAAAGTACCTAAATTTTAAAACTAAAATCCCCTTATAAATCTATAAAAATCCCTCTATTTCCCTAGAACACATAAAACCATTAAAAAAATTTAAAAATCCAATTAATATCAAATAAAAAACTGCATATTAAAATAAACCAATATTAAAATAACTATAATCCTATAAAAATTTAAACAACAACAACAAAAATTTAAATTCCCCCCAAACATTTGTTCACCTCAGCCCTTTTTATTCACCTCAATCCCTTATTTATTCACCTCAGCCCTTATTTATTCACCTCAGCCCTGCATTTATTCACCTCAGACCTTTTTATTCACCTCAATCCCTTATTTATTCACCTCAGCCCTTCTTTATTCACCTCAGACCTTTATTTATTCACCTCAGCCCTTTATTTATTCACCTCAGCCCTGCATTTATTCACCTCAGCCCTTTATTTATTCACCTCAGCCCTTTATTTATTCACCTCAGCCCTTTATTTATTCACCTTCAACCCTTTTTATTCACGTTCAGCCCTTTTTATTCACCTTCAACCCTTTATTAATTCACCTTCAACCCTTTATTCATTCACCTTCAGCCCTTTATTCATTCACCTTCAATCCTTTTTATTCACCTTCAGCCCTTTATTCATTCACCTCCACAAACCCTGTGACCTCCCACACTCCCACCCAACTCCACACGGGTAAATCCCAGCACTCCAAATCAGTTTTGGAACCTTTCTCCATGGCCAGCGCTGTCCTGGGGGTCAGCACAGAAACTCTGGAATTCCCAGCAGCATTCCCAGTTTGTCCTGGTGGGATTTCCCAGCCTGTCCTGGCATTCCCAGCCTGTCCTGGCATTCCAAACCTTTCCAGGCTGCACCTTCCCAGCTGAGGGGGGAGCAGCTCAAGCCACTCCAGGCCATGCAAAGGAAGGATGTAAAAAATCAATTCCTACAGACCAGCAAGGTGTCCTTTGATTGCTCAAAATCTGCCTTTTTCCAGCTTCAAATCGCCTTTGGCTCCTCCATTCCCGACTCCAAAGGGATGGAATGTCACTGTGCTGGGTGTGAGGGGCACAGCTGGGTGGGTTTGTGGGTCGGAGTGGCACAGCTGGGTGGGTTTGTGGGTTTGAGGGGCACAGCTGGGTGGGTTTGTGGGTCTGAGTGGCCACCCCAGTGGCACAGAGCAGGGGTGGCCGTGCCTGGGCTGTTTTCCTCGCCCCAGGACATTCCCTGCAGCTCCTGCCACAGCCTGGTCCCCTCCACAAACCAAACCCCTCCTGCCAGGTGCCTCAGCAAACGGAGGGGTCTGGTGGGACACGGGAGAAATTCTTCTGGGAGGGGTTGGGATGGAATTCCCAGAGCAGCCTGGGACAGCGGGAGGTGTCCCTGCCATGGCAGGGGTGGCACTGGGTGAGGTTTAGGGTCCCTTCCCCCCCAAACCATCCCAGGCCTCCCCAGGGATGGGCTCCAGTGGAAGGTGCCCCCTGAGCAGCACCTCAGAGCCCCGCAGCACAAACCCACCATGAGTCACCAAGGCCACGCAGAACCAGCCACAGCTGCTGCCCCAACACGTCCCATCGCATTTCCCTACCAAAAACGAGTGCCCAGAAGTGCCAGTGGCCGTGTCCAGCCTGCAGGGACGGCACGGGGACCCCCGAGGGCACAAAACTCCCACTGAAGCTTTGGGGTGTAAAGGAGAGCACGCCTGGAAATGTGCACACTTCTGCAAACAACATCTGGCGGCTCCCAGGAAAGCAGGAGGGCTCCCTCTGGAGTGGATCCCAAAATTCCCGTGGAATTCCCAGAAATCCACACGGAATCCAAGGGGAACAAAGCCCAGGGTTCCTGTCTCCCCTCCTTCCCTCCCCCCGTCTGCACCCAGCGCCCTGAGCCCCGCAGGACATGGAGCCATGCCTGCAATATTAAGTCATTAATTAGTTTTCATGCACGGACTTGTCCTCCTTGTGGCAAGGAGGCAAAGGAAAGGATTCCTGGAGAGACAAGAAAGCTCTCCCAGCACGTGGAACCCCCCCAGGATCTCCCTCCCGCAGATCAGGTATGGAGCCAGCTGAGAATCCCGTTCCCATGGCCATGGAAACCATCCCACAAAAGCCTCAGCAGCCCAGGAAACTCCCCTGGAAAGGAGGGAGGGAGGAAAAACTCTGGGGCACACACACAAACCACGCTCTGCTGGAGCTGAGGGAGGCTGTGCTCCAGAAAAGCCCCCCCAACCCCTTCCCAGGGCTTATTTGCATACAAGCCAATTAACAGCAAATGGATTTCATGCAGGAAGGGGGAAAAAAAAGAAAAGTCAGGTCACCAACAAAGTGAAGTCAACTTACTGCCTGCTTTTGTTCTTCTTCCTGGAGATGGGGGAAAAAGGTGGAGAGAGAGAGAGAGGAAGGATCAGTTATGATGGAAAAATGGTGATTTTCACACAAAACACCCAGTGGGAGGACACAAGACCAGGACAGGAGGGCTGGGGGGAGCACAGGTGACACTTGTCCCACTGTCCCTCTCGAATGTGCTCTGGTGGTGGCACTGGGATGGGGGTCCCAGCAGGATTCAGGAGACCCAGGGGTGTCTGCTCCTTCGGGCAGGACTTCACAGCTCAGCCTGGCACAGGGGAGGGTGCCCTGCCCGTGGCAGGGGGAGCTGGGTGGGCTTTGCAGCCCCTTCCCACCCAAACCATGCCAGAGCTGAGGCCTCTGGAGCTGCCCCTGTCGGAATCTGTGGTGTTGGTGATTCTGAGATTGTAGAAAGTCTCTGTCTGTCAGCCCCCCTGCCAAAGCAGAAGCCATAATTCATCTGTGCTGGTTTCAAGGTTGTTTATTCTGTTTATCTCTAACATGTTCTGCTGCCCTGCCGCAGCTCTGTCCTGCAGGGCAGCGTGTGGGGCTCTGCCCTCAGTGGGATGGTACAAACATTAAATACCACAAACTACCTGTGCTGGATTTACAATAACGTGCCAATATCTGTCACCTACGTTGGACAGTGTGTCCCCAGCCTGAACCAACAGAAAAATGCCAACACCACAGTGAAACATGGAGGGCATGAAGAACGAGAAAAAGGACAAGGCACACCCAATTCCTCCATCTTGTCCCCTTTGGACCCCTAATCTAGAAACCTAAAATTTTACTTTTGCACCCGTGCCACACTTAATTATTACTGATATCAAACACTCAAAGCTTGTAATTCATCCTGTAAGATTGAAAACTCTTTTCCATGGGCAGAGATCACAGCCAGTGTCTCTGGGGGCTCTGTCCAGGGGGGTTCCTGACCCCTGCCAGGGTCCCAGGGCAGCCAGAGGGAAGCCTTGGATTCCCACATGCCCCGAAGCCAAGAGAGCCCAAATCCATCCCCTGAAGTCTGGAGTTGCCTCTGGCAAGGTCCAAACACACAAATGTGCCAGCAGCAAAACATCCCTGGCACCGCAGGACCTCGGCCAGGGCAGGGGAGGCAGGGCTGGGAGGGCACCAGGGATGCTGGAAGCACTGCAGGGAGAGCAGCTCCTGCCCTGCAGCACCTCTCTGGGCAATAAAAAAGGTGAAATTCAGGGGAATTTCTCCCCTTTTGAAGCAGGGAAATGTCCCCTGTGGCCGGGCCTGGGCTGGGGGAGGCACATCCTGCCTTCAGCTCCAGGAGAATTGCTGGGAACGAGCAAAATGTCAGCCAGGCAGAGCTCCCCTGGAAATTCAGATGTTTCCATGGGCTCTCTCAGGCAGGAACCAGCAGGGCTCTGGCTGTGTGTGACACGAGGGCTGCAGGAGGTGCTGCTGACCCCACAGCAGCAATTCCCTCTGCCCCAGCCCTGCAGCAGGAGCACACCCAGCACAGCCCCCAGAAATTCAGGTCATGGAGTGAAAATCCTGGGATAAAAGCTCCTTCTGGCCTGGAAATCCATGAACCCATTTATCAGCCTTCCCCTGCTGATCTCCCATCTGAGCAGGATTAACCAGAACCTTTCCCTTCATTTCAAGCAGCGTCTGCTGGCTGACCACTGCTCACTGCTTTCCCACCCAGCCCTGCAGAGCAGCCTGGCAAGGCCTGGGGGACAATTCCGTGGCTCCCAGAGGATGTTTTTGGGGTTTTCTGCCCAGACCTGGGGTTCCTTCAGGTTTGTTTGGTGGCTGTGGGGCCTGGCTCTGCTCAGCGCCCTCCCCACATCCCAAATTTCCCCTCCTGCCTCCACCCCCAGACGGGGACCCAGGGCAGGGAAAAGATCTTCAATCACCTCCACCCCACCAAAAAAAGTTGTTCCTTTGAAAGAGGAGGTCCTGGCATTGAGCAGAGATGTGAGAAGGGCTCTGAGGAGGGCTGGGGCTGAGCAGGGCAGGATAAATCAGCGCAGCAGCGCCAGGAAATCACCGTGCAGGAAATGCAGGAGATGGGATCTGCCTGCTGCATTTCCCTGGGGTCACACAAACCTGGCAGGAGCACCCAGGGGCCCCCAGGAGGATCTGCTGCATTTCCCTGGGGTCACACAAACCCTGCAGGAGCACCCAGGGGTCCCCAGAAGGACCTGCTGCATTTCCCTGGGCTCACACAAACCCTGCCAGGAGCACCCAGGGGTCCCATGTCCCCAGAAGGATCTGCTGCATTTCCCTGGGGTCACACAAACCCTGCCAGGAGCACCCAGGGGTGCCCAGAAGGATCTGCTGCATTTCCCTGGGCTCACACAAGCCCTGGCAGGAGCACCCAGGGGTGCCCAGGGACCCTCTCCAGAGCCAGGCCAGCCCTGGCACAGGGGGCTGCAGGAACGAGGGAATGAGGAGACACAGCCCCAGGAGGGTTTGGGTGGGTGGGGAACCTCAAATCCCACCCTGGGACACCTGGCACCGTCCCGGGGGGCTCCAGCCCTGTGAAAGCTGCCATGGTCAGAAATGACAGGGTGGGGATGGGCAGAAATCACTGAATGGGGAGGGTCAGAAATCACAGAATGGGAAGGGTCAGAAATCATGAACCAAAATGGTCAGAAATGACAGAATGGGGAGGGTCAGAAATCACAGAATGAGCAGAAATCACAGAATGGGCAGAAATCACAAATGGGCAGAAATCACAGAATGGGGAGGGTCAGAAATCACAGAAGGGTCAGAAATCAAAAATGGGGAGAGTCAGAAATCATGAACCAAAATGGTCAGAAATCACAGAATGGGCAGAAATCACAAAATGGGGAGGGTCAGAAATCACAAATGGTCAGAAAATACAGAATGGGGAGGGTCAGAAATCACATAATGGGAAGGGTCAGAAATCACAAATGGTCAGAAATCACAGAATGGGGAGGGTCAGAAATCACAGAAAGGCGAGAGTCAGAAATCATGAACCAAAATGGTCAGAAATCACAGGATGGGCAGAAATCACAGAATGGGAATGGGTAGAAATCACAAATGGTCAGAAATCACAGAATGGGGAGGGTCAGAAATCAAAAATGGGGAGAGTCAGAAATCATGAACCAAAATGGTCAGAAATCACAGGATGGGAAGGGTCAGAAGTCACAGAATGGACAGGAATCACAGAATGGGGAGGGTCAGAAATCACAGAATGGGCAGAAATCACAGAATGGTCAAATCACAGAATGGGGAGGGTCAGAAATCACAGAATGGGGAGGGTCAGAAATGACAGAATGGGGAGAGTCAGAAATCATGAACCAAAATGGTCAGAAATCACAGAAGGGTCAGAAATCACAGAATGGGGAGGGTGAGAAATCACAGAATGGGGAGGATCAGAAGTCGTAAATGGTCAGAAATCACAGGATGGGCAGAAATCACAGAATGGTCAAATCACAGAATGGAAAGGGTCAGAAATCACAGGATGGGGAGGGTCAGAAATCACAGAAGGGTCAGAAATCACAGAATGGGGAGGGTCAGAAATCACAAATGGTCAGAAATCACAGAATGGGCAGAAATCACAGAATGGTCAAATCACAGAATGGGGAGGGTCAGAAATCACAAATGGGCAGAAATCACAAAATGGGGAGGGTCAGAAATCATGAACCAAAATGGTCAGAAATCACAGGATGGGAAGGATCAGAAATCACAGAATGGGGAGGGTCAGAAATCAAAAATGGTCAGAAATCACAGAATGGGGAGGGTCAGAAGTCCCAGAACCAGAACTGGTTTGGCCTGGAAGGGACCTTGTCCAGGGCCTTTCCCTGCTCCCAGTGCCACCAGCACAGCGTGGGGACAATGGATGAACCCAGGGGACAGCCGTGGATGGCCTGGCACAGACAGAACCTGGAATGTCCTGGCTTGGGGGGACCCACAGGGATCATCCCAGCCCTGCCCTGCCCAGACCCCCAAATCCCACCCTGGGCACCCCTGGCAGCGCTGTCCAAACCCTCCTGGAGCTCTGGCAGCCCTGGGGCAGTGCCAGCACCCTCTGGGGACCTGGGCAGTGCCAGCACCTCTGGGGATGAACCAGATCCACCCCAGATCCCCTGGCCCAGCTCCAGCCCTTCCCTGGGTCCTGTCCCTGTCCCACAGATCCTTTCCTGCTGACACCTCCAGATCCTTCTCACTCTCCTTTCCTTCAGACAGGGATTTGAGGCCCCAGCCTCTCAGGCAAGCAGAGCTGGGTGAGCTGAATCCAGCCCTAAATGGTGATATGAAGGCAGCATTAAAAATGTAGAAAATACTGCATAAGAAAATGGGAAAAAACCCCATAAAAGCTTAACAGCCGTGTGAATTATACATGAACGGTTTTGAAGAGCTCCAAGGGATGAGAGAAGCTGAAAGCTGGCGGGGAAAAATCGTGTCTGGCAGGGCTAAACCCACTGAAAAGGAGAGGGCTGGAAATAAACACCAACACCAGGGAGGAAGCAGAGCCTGGAGGGCTGAGATCGAGCAGGGCAGGGGGAGAGGGAGCCCCGAGTGCCCCGTGCCCTGTCCTGAGCTGCAGCAGCTCCAGGGAAGATCTGCCACCAACCACGAGAAAAAGGTGTCAGAAAAATCCACGAGAAATGATATTTTTAGCTCAGCAGGATGGGGAACCTGCAGCTTGAAATCACAGCCTGAGCTCAGAGCAGCCTGGGGCAGGGCAGGGAATTTGGGAATTATTCAGGAATTTGGGAATTCAGGAATTTGGGAATTCAGGAATTTGGGAATTTGGAAATTTGGGAATTTATTGGTGCTGGGTCCTGGCACGCCCAGGAGGAGAGGAGATTCAGCCAGGGAGGGGAGGAGATGTAAAGGAGAGAAACTTCTTGGGGAGAAATGAAATGGGACCTTGCAGGGCCTGAAGGGGCTCCAGGGAACACAGAGAGGGATTCTGGACAGGGGATGGAGGGACAGGAGCCAGGGAACGGCTCCCAGTGCCAGAACAGAACAGAATTCCCAAACTTGGCCAGTGAGTGGCTCCAGGAAAAGCAGAATTCCCACCTTGGCCAGTGAGTGGCTCCAGGAAAAGCAGAATTCCCAGAGTTGGTCAGTGAGTGGCTCCAGGAAAAGCAGAATTCCCACCTTGGCCAGCACGTTGTGCTCAGGTGCACAGGGAGGGGGAATGAGCCAGGCCCTGCTGAGGATTCATTCCTAGGATTGAGGGAAGGGCTGGAATTCCTGCCCAGGATGGAGGGAAGGGCTGGAATTCCTGCCCAGGAGGGAGAAAAGGGCTGGAATTCCTGCCCAGGATGGAGGGAAGGGCTGGACTTCCTCCCCAGGAGGGAGGGAAGGGCTGGAATTCCTGCCCAGGAGGGAGAAAAGGGCTGGAATTCCTGCCCAGGATGGAATTCCTTCCCAGGATGGGGACAGCCCGAGCTGAGGAGTGATGGGGATCATTTCTGGGATGGGATCATTGGGGATCATTTCTGGGATGGGGATAATTTGGGATCATTTCTGGGATGGGGATAATTTGGGATCATTTCTGGGATGGGGATAATTTGGGATCATTTCTGGGATGGGATCATTGGGGATCATTTCTGGGATGGGATCATTGGGGATCATTTCTAGGATGGGATCATTTGGGATAATTTCTGGGATGGGGATAATTTGGGATCATTTCTGGGATGGGGATCATTTGGGATCATTTCTGGGATGGGGATAATTTGGGATAATTTCTGGGATGGGGATAATTTGGGATCATTTCTGGGATGGGGATCATTTGGGATCATTTCTGGGATGGGGATAATTTGGGATCATTTCTGGGATGGGATCATTGGGGATCATTTTGGGGATCCACTGTCCCTCCTGAGGGCAGAGCAGCTCTGAATTTCCCTGGAACCAGCCAGATGTGCCTACAGGTGATCTGGCACCCCTGTGTCAGTGCCACTGTCACCCCTGTGCCACTGCCACCTCATTGCCACTGCCACCCTTGTGCCACTGTCACTGTCACCCCTGTGACACTGCCACCCCTGTGCCACTGTCACTGCCACCTCTGTGCCCTTGTCACTGTCACTGCCACCCCTGTGCCACTGTCACTGCCACCTCTGTGCCCTTGTCACTGTCACTGCCACCCCTGTGCCATTGTCACTGCCACCCCTGTGTCATTGTCACTGCTACCTCTGTGCCCTTGTCATTGTCACTGCCACCCTTGTGCCACTGCCACCCTTGTGCCACTGTCACTGCCACCTCTGTGCCCTTGTCACTGTCACCCCTGTGCCACTGCCACCCCTGTGCCACTGTCACTGCCACCCCTGTGTCATTGTCACTGCCACCTCTGTGCCCTTGTCACTGTCACTGCCACCCTTGTGCCACTGCCACCACCATGTCATTGTCACTGCCACCTCTGTGCCCTTGTCACTGTCACTGCCACCCCTGTGCCACTGCCACCCCCGTGCCATTGTCACTGCCAGCCCTGTGCCACTGTCACTGTCACCCCAGGTACAGCTCCTGCCCAGCTGTGCCAGGCTGTGCAGGGATCTCCTGCCCAGCTGTGCATTCCTTACTTTGAGCAGCTTCATCAGCCCCTCCAGCTGCACCATCAGCTCTCGTCTGCTCTCCTGCAGGGCTGACATCCTCTGCTCCAGCTCATCCTTCCTCTGCCTGCGCCAGGGACAGGGGAGAGAGAGAGAGGAGAAATGAGCTCAGCCTGCCCCAGACCTGCCAGGGGCTTCTCCTGTGTCCAGTGACCCTGGGTCCATCACCCTGCAGCAGGCAGGACACGGCCCCTGCAGCAGCTGCAGCAGCCAGGACACGGCCCCTGCAGCAGCTGCAGGCAGGTGACAGCAGCTGCAGGGCTGCAGTGACAGCAGCATGTCCCAGTGCCACCTCAGAGCATCACCTCTGAACCTCTGAGTGTCCTGGGTGCTGCCACTGGCACGCTGGGCAAGCCACCCTGGACATCTGAGCAGGAATTGTTCATTAAAAGGACAGAAAACCCTGGGATATTAATAAATATTAACAATTATTAACAAATATTAACAAATATGAACCACCCTGGGTGTTTCTCTGCCACTGGCACACTATAGATAGTCCACCCTGGGCATCTGAGCAGGAATTCTTCTTTAAAGGACAGAAAACCCTGGGATATTAACAAATATTAACAAATATTAACAAATATTAACAAATATGAACCACCCTGGGTGTTTCTCTGCCACTGGCACACTATGGAAAGTCCACCCTGGGCATTTGAGCAGGAGATGTTCTTTAAAAGGACAGAAAACTCTGGGATATTAACAAATATTAACAAATATTAACAAATATGAACCACCCTGGGTGTTTCTCTGCCACTGGCACACTATGGATAGTCCACCCTGGGCATTTGAGCAGGAATTCTTCTTTAAAGGACAGAAAACCCTGGGATATTAACAAATATTAACAAATATTAACAAATATTAATAAATATTAATAAATATTAACACATATGAACCGCCCTGGGTGTTTCTCTCAGTACCTCTGTCTGTGTTGGACACTGTGGGTTTAATGAAGGCCCTGGAGGGGCCTACAAAGAAGCTGAAGTGGGAATTTTTACCAGGAACTGGACACAGGGGATGGATCCCAGTGCCAGGGGGCAGGGCTGGGACAGGATTCCCATGGGCTGGGACACGATTCCCAAGGGCTGGGACAGGATTCCCATGGGCTGGGACACGATTTCCATGGGCTGGGACACAATTCCCATGGGCTGGGACACGATTCCCATGGGCTGTCCTTGCCCTGAACTCTGGGCAGAGCTGAGATCAGCTGGTGCTTACAGACAGCCCCATCCCACCCCATTATCCCACCCCATAATCCCATCCCAACATCCCATCCCACCCCATTATCCCATCCCAATATCCCATCCCATTATCCCATTATCCCACCCCATTATCCCATCCCATTATCCCATCCCAACATCCCATCTCAACATCCCATCCCATTATCCCAATCCCTGAGGTGGAAAAGCACCTGCAGTGTTATAGGGGCAGATTATAATATTATATAATATATTATATAGAATATTATATTAAAAATTACATTATATATAATATAATATATAATATATAATATATAATATATATATATAATATATAATATATAATATATAATATATAATATATAATATATAATATATAATATATAATATATAATAAATAATGTATAATAAATAAAATATAATATATAATGTATAATATATAATGTATAATATATCATATATCATAATCATATATAATATATCATATATAATATACATTATATAATATATAATGTATAATATAGTATATACTATATACTATATAGTATATAGTATATAGTATATAGTATATAGTATATATAATATAGTATATATAATATAGTATATAATATATAGTATATAATACATATAATAGTATATAATATTTATAATAGTATATAATATATCATAATGACTATAATAGATTATAATAGGCTTTTTGCAAATGCGACAATAAATTTTAAATGTGTGCCATTAAAATAACTTTGTTATAAAGGCCTCATTTTTATTTCTGTTGTTAGTTACGCTCAGGGCAATGACTAATGTAAATATAGTTGTGTTAAAATCGCTGCTTGGACGAGATAACATCCAATAAACACGTGAAAAAACCACCCACTACAAACACCAACACTCACTGGGAAAGACAGGGTGGGCCAGAGCCAAAACTCAGAGTAATGATTTAACAAACCCCAAAACCACAACCAAGGAATGCAGAACACTCCAAAAAACAAACCCAAAGCAGAATCCTGCTGAGCAGCGCTCAAAAGCTGCAGAGGGGTTTGGGAAAAGCAGTTTGCTGCAGGGGAGGGGCGCTGCATGCACAGCAGGGCGATGGACGGGGAAGGAATTCGGGATTGTCTGGGAGATCCCAAAAACCCCCCTCGGTGTCCCCCGTTACAGGGTCACCTTTCACACCAGAGCGGGTGCATTTCTGAGAGTGGGTGCATTTCTGAGAGTGGGTGCATTTCTGAGAGTGGGTGCATTTCTGAGAGTGGGTGCATTTCTGACAGTGGATGCATTTCTGAGAGAGTGGGTGCATTTCTGAGAGTGGGTGCATTTCTGAGAGCGGGTGCATTTCTGAGAGGAGTGGGTGCATTTCTGACAGTGGGTGCATTTCTGAGAGTGGGTGCATTTCTGAGAGTGGGTGCATTTCTGAGAGTGGGTGCATTTCTGAGAGTGGGTGCATTTCTGACAGTGGGTGCATTTCTGAGAGTGGGTGCATTTCTGAGAGAGTGGGTGCATTTCTGAGAGTGGGTGCATTTCTGAGAGAGTGGGTGCATTTCTGACAGAGTGGGTGCATTTCTGACAGTGGGTGCATTTCTGAGAGTGGGTGCATTTCTGACAGCGGGTGCATTTCTGACAGTGGGTGCATTTCTGAGAGTGGGTGCATTTCTGAGAGAGTGGGTGCATTTCTGAGAGTGGGTGCATTTCTGAGAGAGTGGGTGCATTTCTGAGAGAGTGGGTGCATTTCTGAGAGAGTGGGTGCATTTCTGAGAGTGGGTGCATTTCTGAGAGAGTGGGTGCATTTCTGAGAGAGTGGGTGCATTTCTGAGAGTGGGTGCATTTCTGAGAGAGTGGGTGCATTTCTGAGAGAGTGGGTGCATTTCTGACAGTGGGTGCATTTCTGAGAGAGTGGGTGCATTTCTGACAGTGGGTGCATTTCTGAGAGAGTGGGTGCATTTCTGAGAGTGGGTGCATTTCTGAGAGTGGGTGCATTTCTGAGAGAGTGGGTGCATTTCTGACAGTGGGTGCATTTCTGAGAGTGGGTGCATTTCTGACAGTGGGTGCATTTCTGACAGTGGGTGCATTTCTGAGAGAGTGGGTGCATTTCTGAGAGTGGGTGCATTTCTGAGAGTGGGTGCATTTCTGAGAGAGTGGGTGCATTTCTGACAGTGGGTGCATTTCTGAGAGTGGGTGCATTTCTGAGAGTGGGTGCATTTCTGAGAGAGTGGGTGCATTTCTGAGATAGTGAACACATTTCTGAGAGAGTGGGTTGCATTTCCACGACAGAGTGGATGCATTTCCACGAGACAATGAATGCATCTCCAGGGGAGTGAATGCATTTCACAGGAATCACCTGCAGCATCCTGCACAACCCAGCCCCTCCTGCACCGCCCCAGCAGTGGGGCAGGTTTGATTTATCCTAAACCCCTGGGGGCGAGATAACCCATTCCAGCAGCCTGGTAGCCCACCCCAGCTGCCCAGTAGCCCACCCCAGCCCCTGGTAGCCCACCCCAGCCCCTGGTAGCCCACCCCAGCAGCCTGGTAGCCCATCCCAGTGCCCAGTAGCCCACCCCAGTGCCCGGTAGCCCACCCCAGCAGCCCGGTAGCCCACCCCAGGCCTCGGGGCCAGGCGCCCTTACCGCAGCAGGCGCAGCTCGGCCAGCAGGGTCGGGTTCTGCTGCGCCTTCTCGGGCGTGGGCTGCGAGGCCTGCTCGTGCTCCAGCCGCAGCCGCTGGATCTCCTGCAGGATCTCCCTGCACGGGGGCCAGAGCGGGGCTGTGAGAGACCCACAGCACAGGAGGGACTGCGGCGTGCAGGGGTTACACAGCTGTGCAGGGGTTACACAGCTGTGCAGGGGTTACCCAGCTGTGCAGGGGTCACTGCAGTGTGCAGGAGTCACTGCAGTGTGCAGGGGTTACACAGCTGTGCAGGAGTCACTGCAGTGTGCAGGAGTTACACAGCTGTGCAGGGGTCACTGCAGTGTGCAGGGGTTACACAGGTGTGCAGGGGTCACACAGCTGTGCAGGGGTTACACAGCTGTGCAGGGGTCACACAGCTGTGCAGGGGGTTACACAGGTGTGCAGGGGTCACTGCAGTGTGCAGGGGTTACACAGCTGTGCAGGAGTCACTGCAGTGTGCAGGGGTTACACAGGTGTGCAGGGGTCACACAGCTGTGCAGGGGTCACTGCAGTGTGCAGGGGTTACACAGCTGTGCAGGGGTCACACAGCTGTGCAGGGGGTACACAGGTGTGCAGGGGTTACACAGCTGTGCAGGGGTTACACAGGTGTGCAGGGGTTACACAGCTGTGCAGGGGTCACTGCAGTGTGCAGGGGTTACACAGCTGTGCAGGGGTCACACAGCTGTGCAGGGGGTACACAGGTGTGCAGGGGTTACACAGCTGTGCAGGGGTTACACAGGTGTGCAGGGGTTACACAGATGTGCAGGGGTCACACAGCTGTGCAGCAATTACACAGCTGTGCAGGAGTGACTGCAGTGTGCAGGGGTCACACAGCTGTGCAGGGGTTACACAGCTGTGCAGGGGTTACACAGGTGTGCAGGGGTCACACAGCTGTGCAGGGGTTACACAGGTGTGCAGGGGTTACACAGGTGTGCAGGAGTTACACAGGTGTGCAGGGGTCACACAGGTGTGCAGGGGTTACACAGGTGTGCAGGGGTTACACAGGTGTGCAGGAGTTACACAGCTGTGCAGGGGTTACACAGGTGTGCAGGGGTCACACAGCTGTGCAGGGGTTACACAGGTGTGCAGGGGTTACACAGGTGTGCAGGAGTTACACAGGTGTGCAGGGGTCACACAGGTGTGCAGGGGTTACACAGCTGTGCAGGGGTTACACAGGTGTGCAGGGGTCACACAGCTGTGCAGGGGTTACACAGGTGTGCAGGGGGTACACAGCTGTGCAGGGGTCACACAGGTGTGCAGGGGTCACACAGGTGTGCAGGGGTTACACAGGTGTGCAGGAGTTACACAGCTGTGCAGGGGTCACTGCAGTGTGCAGGGGTTACACAGCTGTGCAGGGGTTACACAGCTGTGCAGGAGGTACACAGGTGTGCAGGAGTTACACAGCTGTGCAGGGGTTACACAGCTGTGCAGGAGTTACACAGCTGTGCAGGAGGTACACAGGTGTGCAGGAGTTACACAGCTGTGCAGGGGTTACACAGCTGTGCAGGAGTTACACAGCTGTGCAGGGGGTACACAGCTGTGCAGGGGTCACTGCAGTGTGCAGGGGTTACTGCATTGGTGCAGGAGTCACTGCATTGGTGCAGGAGTCACTGCAGGGGTGCAGGAGTCACTGCAGGGGTGCAGGAATGACTGCAGGGGTGCAGGAGTCACTGCAGGGGTGCAGGAGTCACTGCAGTGTGCAGGGGTTACACAGCTGTGCAGGAGTGACTGCAGGGGTGCAGGAGTCACTGCAGGGTGCAGGAATGACTGCAGGGTGCAGGAATGACTGCAGGGGTGCGTCACACCGCTGAGCTGTGCTGCGGGGCAGCTCAGTAGCAGCTGAATGCAGCTCTGTGGGTAACGTGCAGCTTGGGTTGCTAAAACAGAAACTCTTTTTTTGGTTTTTTTTAAGGAATGAGAAATAACAGCCACAGAAGCCCCAAATCCTCCCGGGAAGGGGAACTGATGCTTCTCTTATCAGACAAAGCCAATTTCTTCAGGCTCAGACTCAATACACCGTGAGGATTAAAAGAAATCGTTAACATTATAGTTAATAGTTAACATTAATAGTTAACATTATAGTTAATAATTAACATTAATAGTTAGCAGACAGAGGTTCTTGTCTTAAACAGAATGTATGCATAACCATGAAGTATGTATGAATATGCAAAAAGGACTATTCCTTTGCTCACAAAACATGTTTTTCGTGACTTCAGTGCCTGAGAGCATCCAGACATCCGTAATTCTTTGATTTGTGTTGTCTTGTAACTGTCCTCACTCTAAATTTTTATCACTCTAATTGTATCACTATTTTTATAAACATTTTCTATTACTAAACTTTTAACATTTCCAAAAAGTGAGTGGCGTTTTTCACACTAAGCTACAGCAAAGCATATCCAGTGAGACATTGGGAAGCTCGAAGTTAAATCAGGGGCTCTGTGCCATTCACAGTAATTATTCTGTTGTAAGGATTCCAAGCAGGAATTGTACTGGGATAAGCCAGAATTGTTTAACCAAGGTGCTCACAGTGCACAGGGATGTGGGCACTGCCCCAGGACAGGGATGTGGGCACAGCCCCAGGACAGGGATGTGGGCACTGCCCCTGCCAGGACAGGGATGTGGGCACAGCCCCAGGACAGGGACGTGGGCACAGCCCCAGGACAAAAATCCCTGCCCACCCTGCCAGGGAACAATTCCCAATTCCCAATATCCCACCCAGCCCTGCCCTCTGGCACTGGGAGCCATTCCCTGTGTCCTGTCCCTCTGTCCCTTGTCCCCAGTCCCTCTGCAGCTCTCCTGGAGCCCCTCCAGGCCCTGCCAGGGGCTCTGAGCTCTCCCTGGATCTTGGGGTTTCAGGGATTTGGGTGTTTTGGGGTTTGGGGTTTCAGGGATTTGGGGGGTTTGGGGTTTCAGGGATTTGGGGATTTGGGGTTTCAGGGATTTGGGGGTTTTGGGGTTTCAGGGATTTGGGGGTTTGGGGTTTCAGAGATTTGGGGGTTTGGAGTTTCAGAGATTTCTGGTATCACACCCCAGCTCTGAGGTTTGCTGGATGCTCTCAGTGCTGCAGAAGATGATTTTAAGATGAGAGAAGATCCAGCCCTCCCTGGGCAGCCCCACCCCACGGCTAATTGCTGTTAATGACTAATGAATGAGTTAATGAGAGCCCAGAGAGGCCCGGGGAGGCAGCGGGGCTGAGGCTGTACCTGTTCTTGTTCTCCAGCTCCGCGATCAGCTGCCTCTGCTGCCGGTTGGCATCGAAGCTGAAGGGCAGGTCCGGGCCCGGGCGGGGCTGGAAGGACAGGGAAAGGCAGGAGGCGCGGGAAATGCAGGCTCAGGAATCACAGAAAATACAGAAAATAGAGAAAATACAGAAAATACAGAAAAACACAGAAAGCGCAGAAAATACAGAAAATACGGAAAATACAGAAAAACGCCGAAATCGCAGAAAATACAGATAAACAGAAATCACAGAAAATACAGAAAGATACAGAAATCACAGAAAATACAGAAAAACAGAAATCACAGAAAATACAGAAAAACACAGAAATCGCAGAAAATACAGAAAAACACAGAAAATGCAGAAAAACGCAGAAATAGCAGAAAATACAGAGAAACACAGAAATCGCAGAAAAGAGAAGCATAGAAAATGCAGGAATCACGGAAAATACAGAAATCACAGAAAATACAAGCATAGAAAACACAGGAATCACAGAAATCACAGAAAATACAGAAAAACGCAGAAAGCGCAGAAAATAGAAGCATAGAAAACACAGTAATAGCAGAAACTACAGAAATCACAGCAAATAGAAGCACAGAAAACAAGAATCACAGAAAATACAGGAAAACACAGAAATCACAGAAAATGGAAGCACAGGAATCACAGAAACCACACAAATCACAGAAAACTCAAATCACACAATCACACCAATCACAGAAACCACACAAAGCACAGATAACACAGAAAATACACAATCACACAAGTCACAGAAAACACAGAAATTACACAAATCACAGAAAACACAATCACACAAATCATAGAAAACACAAATCACACAATCACACAAATCATAGAAAATACAAATCACACAATCACACATCACAGAAATCAATCACACAAGTCACAGAAAACACAGAAAATACAGAAACCACACAAATCACAGAAAACACAAATCACACAATCACAGAAACCACACAAATCATAGAAAACACAGAAAATACACAATCACACAACTCAAAGCAAGTACAGAAACCACACAAATCACAGAAAGCACAAAGCACACAATCACACAAATCATAGAAAACACAGAAAATACACAATTACACAAGTCACAGCAAGTACAGAAACCACACAAATCACAGAAAACACAAATCACACAATCACACAAATCACACAAATCATAGAAAACAGAAAATACACAATCACAGAAATCACACCAATCACAGAAATCACACAAATCATAGAAAACACAGAAAATACACAATCACACAAGTCACAGCAAGTACAGAAACCACACAAATCACAGAAAACACAATCACACACTCACAGAAATCACACAATTACAGAAAACACAGAACCCCACAGAAATCACACAAATCTCCCAATGACACAGTGACACAACCCCACCAGTCCCCCCAGTCCCCCCAGTCCCCCCAGTCCCTCCTGCACGCAGGGCTGGCAGCAGCCCCACAGCTCCAGCCTGGCACAGCCCTGGCACACCCCAGAGAGAAGAAAGAGAAAACAATTCCTATTCCCACTCCTTGTTTTCCCATGTAGAATGTGTATAAAGAATTGTTTCCCTGGGGTGTTGCTTAGTTGGATTTTTGTGAAGATTGTTTGAGCACAACAATCCAACCCACCCTCTCCAGAGAGGGTCACGAGTTATGAGTGAGTTAGATAGGGTAGTTGGAAAAGTAGGTTTGCAGTTTCAGTATCTCCTTTAAATAGTATATTAATGTATTCTAGTACAGTTATAATAAAGAACTCATTCAGCCTCTGAGCTGGAGTCAGACATCATCATTTCTGCCCACGGGGTTCACCTGCATTTACAATTCCCGAGAGCTGAGGTGATTTATGGGTTTTTAGCCAGCAGGTCCCTTCAGAACCAATCCAGCTTCCATCCAACACTGTGTCTCCACCAGAAGAAGCCAACCATGACTGAGAGCTCTTCCAGCACCTTCCAGCGTGACAGTGACTCAGAACCTGCTGCCTCAACAGCTTGGCTTGCACAGGACAAGATGGAAAATTCCTCCTTTCCCATCCAAGCCTGAAGGCTGGCGGTTTAAGGTGTCCCAGCACAGAGTCTGTGTGCAGGTTCTACAGAGATCTGCCCAGGGCACGCCCTGAGGGAAATTCAGGAACGTGGGAGATGCTCCTGCAAATCTGCTCTCCTTCCCTATGGGCAAACCAGCCAGGACAGGCTGCAAATATTCCCCGGAATTTCACTGAGCTCTGCCTGTGCTCCTGGAGCCAATTTCTGTCACAGCAGCGTTGATTTTTCCCACTTGGAAACGTGTTTGTGTTTCCTTTCTTCTCCCCTCCGAGAAGCTGCAAACACAAACCCACCCGGCCCTTTCTAAGCTGCCCCCCAGCCCCCCGAGCTGCCCCCCAGCCCCCCGAGCTGCCCCCCAGGGCAGGGGTCACTCACAGCATTGCCGGCCTCGGCGGCCAAGCGTGCGGCGTAGCGGGCGATGAGCCGGTGCTCCTCGTCCAGCCGGCCAGGGCTGTCCAGGGCACTGCAAAACACAGCCCAGAGTGAGCCCAGGGCTGTCCAGGGCACTGCAAAACATCCCAGAGTGAGCCCAGGCACTGTAAATCCTGAACAGAGTGAGCCCAGGGCACTGCAAAACATCCCAGAGTGAGCTCAGGGCACTGCAAAACATCCCAGAGTGAGCCCAGGGCACTGCAAAACATCCCAGAGTGAGCCCAGGGCACTGTAAAACATCCCAGAGTGAGCCCAGGGCACTGTAAATCCTGAACAGAGTGAGCCCAGGGCACTGCAAAACATCCCAGAGTGAGCCCAGGCACTGCAAAACATCCCAGAGTGAGCCCAGACACTGTAAAACCTGAACAGAGTGAGCCCAGGGCACTGCAAAACATCCCAGAGTGACCCAGAGCTGTCCAGGGCTGTGCAAAACATCCCAGAGTGAGCCCAGGGCACTGCAAAACATCCCAGAGTGAGCCCAGGGCACTGCAAAACACAGCCCAGAGTGAGCCCAGGGCACTGCAAAACACAGCCCAGAGTGAACCCAGGGCACTGCAAAACATCCCAGAGTGAGCCCAGGGCACTGCAAAACCTGAACAGAGTGAGCCCAGGGCACTGCAAAACATCCCAGAGTGAGCCCAGGGCTGTCCAGGGCACTGCAAAACAGCCCAGAGTGAGCCCAGACACTGCAAAACACAGCCCAGAGTGAGCCCAAGGCACTGCAAAACATCCCAGAGTGAGCCCAGGGCTGCCCAGGGCACTGCTAAACATCCCAGAGTGAGCCCAAGGCACTGCAAAACATCCCAGAGTGAGCCCAGGGCACTGCAAAACAGCCCAGAGTGAGCCCAGGGCACTGCAAAACATCCCAGAGTGAGCCCAGGCACTGTAAAACATCCCAGAGTGAGTCCAGGGCACTGCAAAACATCCCAGAGTGAGCCCAGGCACTGTAAATCCTGAACAGAGTGAGCCCAGGGCACTGCAAAACATCCCAGAGTGAGCCCAGGGCTGCCCAGGGCACTGCAAAACATCCCAGAGTGAGCCCAGGACACTGTGAATCCTGAACAGAGTGAGCCCAGGGCACTGCAAAACATCCCAGAGTGAGCCCAGGGCACTGTAAATCCTGAACAGAGTGAGCCCAGGGCTGTCCAGGGCACTGCAAAACAGCCCAGAGTGGTGCAGGACACCTCCAGACCAAGCTAGAGCCAGCCTAGGGCCAGGGGCTGTGCAGGGCACAGCGAGGGCAGAGGGAAGAGCCCCTGGGAATCACCCTCACAATTCCCTTCCCATTCCTGCCAGGGCAGGAGCTCTCCCCAGCTCACACTCCAGGACAGGGCGGTCCTTTCACTGCTCAGCCCAGGGGTGACACAGCCCCAGCTGACCCTGGCCAGGCTGGATGGGGCTGGGAGCACCCCGGGACAGTGGGAAATGTCCCTGCCACGGCACGGGATGAGCTGCTCCCAAAGCAGCCCAGGATTCCAGGCTGAAACAGTGCCAAAAATGGTGAAATAATCACCAGAGGCAGTGGCAGAGCCCTGGGGGACACGGAGGCACAGGGAGGTGCAGACAGGACAGGCAGAGGTGCCAGCAGAGGGGACAGGAGGGCCGGGAAGGAAAGGCAGCACCTGGATCTGCTCAGGTCTGCAGGACATCTCCTCCTGCTAATCACTGCCGGGCTGTGATTAACGCTGTGATTAATCCATTAAACTCCCGTTAATTCAGCCAGCCAGGCACTGGGCAGATCTCCTCTGTCACTCCAGACTGGGACACAGAGTGTGGCTCTGGGCTGTGCTGGTGGCCACCCTCAGTGCTGGGAGCTGTTCCCAGCCGGATTCGGAGCCACCAGGAACTGGCAAGGAAATGACACCTGGAGGAGCAGCTTTTACATCCAGCAGATTTTAAAGCCAGCAGCTTTTAAAGCCAGCAGCTTTTAAATCCAGCACCTTTTACATCCAGCAGATTTTACATCCAGCAGCTTTTACATCCAGCAGCTTTTTAATCCAACATCCAGCTGCTGGGTTTGGGAACTGCTGGGTTTGGGAGCTGCTGGATTTAGGAACTGATGGATTCAGGGGCTGCTGGGTTTGAGAGCTGCTGGATTCAGGAACTGCTGGGTTTGGGAACTGGTGGATTTGGGAACTGATGAATTCAGGAGCTGCTGGGTTTGGGAACTGCTGGGTTTGGGAGCTGCTGGGTTTGGGAACTGATGAATTTGGGAACTGCTGTGTTTGGGAACTGATGGATTCGGGAGCTGCTGGATTTGGGAACTGATGAATTCAGCAGCTGCTGGCTTTGGGAACTGATGAATTTGGGAGCTGCTGGATTTGGGAACTGATGAATTCAGGAGCTTCTGGCTTTGGGAACTGCTGGGTTTGGGAGCTGCTGGCTTTGGGAACTGCTGGGTTTGAGAGCTGCCAGCTTTGGGAACTGCTGGGTTTGGGAACTGCTGGGTTTGAGAGCTGCCAGCCTTGGGAACTGATGAATTTGGGAACTGCTGTGTTTGGGAACTGATGAATTCGGGAGCTGCTGGATTTGGGAGCTGCTGGGTTTGGGAGCTGCTGGCTTTGGGAATGATGAATTTGGGAACTGCTGTGTTTGGGAACTGCTGAATTCGGGAGCTGCCAGCTTTGGGAACTGCTGGGCTTGGGAACTGCTGGGTTTGGGAGCTGCCAGCTTTGGGAACTGCTGGGTTTGGGAGCCCTGGGGTTCTCAGCACAGATCCCTCCTGCAGCGCCCTGTGAAGGGAACCAGGGGCCAGGAGCAGAGCCCAGAGTGGGGTTTGATGACAGCAGCACTGGGGAATGAGCAAAGTGCCACGGAGCCTCCCAGGGCCACTCCTGAGGGGATCCGTGGGAAAGGGAAAGGGGAAAGGATGCCCAGGGAACCCCAGCAGCACCACAGAGAGCAGAATTCCAACCCAGACCATTCCCAGCCCACAGCCCCACCTCGGGAGGCAATTTCCATTGCTGCAAGCTCAGGTTCAAGGGTTTGTGTTTCCCTTATTCACAGGGCTGATCTGTGCTGTGAATGTGGGGGCTATTTAAAAATGCAGGCTTGATTTCTTCTCAGCTCCAACAACTGGAACTCTTCCAGCCCCTGGAGCTGGCCAGGCGAGGTCTGGGCTGGGACAATGAGCACAGATGGGGCTGGGATGGCCATAAAGGACACGGAGAGGCCTGGCTGGATGAAATCCTGCAGACACCCAGTGCAGGAGCAAAGGCAGGAGCTGGAGAAGGGGAGTGACACCGGGGAAATCAGCCAGAGCAGGTCTGGGGAGCTGCACTGACACCTCCACACCCATTTACTGCCCCAGTGCTGCTGGAGAACAGCATCCCACAGCCCATCCCAGCCCACTCCTGATCCCAGGCAGCTCTGCCCTGCAGCTGTGTCTGCACAAGCCTTCCTCTGCCCATCCCTCCCCCCTTCCAACATCTGCTGTCTCCCAGTTCCTCTCCCAGCCCCTGGAACTGCCAACATCCCTTCAAGCAGTGAGTTACAGAACAGTTCTGGGCAAGTTCTGGCTTTCCTGAAAATTACCTGTAACCCACTAAAGAACCACTGATCCTTTTGTGTTTGCTTTTGGAAATGTTTGACAGGTGATGAGGAAGAGGAGCTCAAATTCATCTCCTGTCCCAGGCTGCTCTAATTCCTGTCCAGCCTGGCCTTGGGCACTGCCCGGGATCCAGGGTGGGCACCCTGTGCCAGGAACAATTCCCAATTCCCAATCTTCCTGTGCTCGAACACCGACCTGGGGATGGACAATTCCTGTGCTCAAACACCGACCTGGGGATGGACAATTCCTGTGCTCAAACACTAAAATGGGGATGGACAATTCCTGTGCTCAAACACCAAAATGGGGATGGACAATTCCTGTGCTCAAACACCAAAATGGGGATTTGACAATTCCTGTGCTCAAACACCAAAATGGGGATGGACAATTCCTGTGCTCAAACACTGACCTGGGGATGGACAATTCTTGTGCTCAAACACCAAAATGGGGATGTAAATTCCTGTGCTCAAACACCAAAATGGGGATGGACAATTCCTGTGCTCAAACACCAAAATGGGGATGGACAATTCCTGTGCTCAAACACCAAAATGGGGATGGACAATTCCTGTGCTAAAACACCAAAATGGGGATGGACAATTCCTGTGCTCAAACACCAACCTGGGGATGGACAATTCCTGTGCTCAAACACCAAAATGGGGATGGACAATTCCTGTGCTCAAACACCGACATGGGGATGGACAATTCCTGTGCTCAAACACCGACCTGGGGATGGACAATTCCTGTGCTCAAACACCAAAATTGGGATGGAAACGGGCTGGGGTGGACTGGCATGGCAGAGAGGAGAGGTTTGGGACAGCACGGGTCTCTGAGCCAGCCCCAAGGGGACAGGGGCACACACGGCCTGGGCAGGGCAGGGGGACAGGCAGGGGACACTTGGGGACAGGGGACACTCAGGGAATGGGGACACTGAGGGAAATGGGCATTCAGGGGGACACTGAGGAACAGGGGACACTCAGGGAATGGGGACACTAAGGGACAGGGGACAGTGAGGGAATGGGGACACTGAGGGACAGGGGACACTCAGGGAATGGGGACACTGAGGGAAATGGGCATTCAGGGGGACACTGAGGGACAGGGGACACTGAGGGACAGGGGACACTGAGGGAATGGGGACACTGAGGGACAGGGGACACTGAGGGAAATGGGCATTCAGGGGGACACTGAGGGACAGGGGACAGTGAAGACAGGGGACACTGAGGGACAGGGGACATTTAGGGAATGGAGACACTGAGGGAAATGGGCATTCAGGGACAGGGGGACACTGAGGGAATGGGGACACTGAGGGACAGGGGACACTGAGGGAAATGGGCATTCAGGGGGACACTGAGGGACAAGGGACACTCAGGGAATGGGGACACAGCCCCATCTGCTCCTGGCTGGAGGCTCTCATGGAACCACATCCTGCAGAACAGGGCAGGGTGGACACAGAGCTGGGACTGCCCTGTCCTGCTGTGAAACCCCACAGAAACCCCACAGAAACCCCACAGGAATCCCACAGAAACCCCACAGGAATCCACAGAAACCCCAGAGATATCCCACAGAAACCCCACAGAAACCCCACAGGAATCCCACAGAAACCCCACAGACACCCCACAGACACCCCACAGAAACCCCACAGATATCCCACAGAAACCCCACAGATATCCCACAGATATCCACTGAGATTCTGGAAATATTCTGTATGGTACATTCTGGGATTCTGTAAATATTTGGTATGCTATTCTGGGATTCTGTAAATATTCTATATTCTGAGATTCTGGAAATATTCTGTACGATACATTCTGGGATTCTGTAAATATTCTGTATAATATTCTGGGATTCTGTAAATATTCTACATGATACATTCTGGGATTCTGTAAATATTCTGTATAATATTCTGGGATTCTGTAAATATTCTACATGATACATTCTGGGATTCTGTAAATATTCTATATTCTGGGATTCTGTAAATATTCTGTATTCTGAGATTCTGGAAATATTCTGTACTATACATTCTGGGACACTGTAAATATTCTATATTCTGGGATTCTGTAAATGTTCTGTATTCTGAGATTTTTAAATATTCTGTATTCTGAGATTCTGAAATATTCTGGATTCTGGGATTCTGGAAATAGTCTGTATGCTGAGATTCTGGAAGAATTCTATATTCTGAGATTCTGGAAATATTCTATATTCTGGGATTCTATAAATGTTCTGTATTGTACATTCTGGGAGTCTGTAAATATTCTGTATGATAGTCTGGGATTCTATAAATGTTCTGTATTCTGAGATTCTGGAAATATTCTATATTCTGGGATTCTGTATGAGATATTCTGGGATTCTGTGAATATTCTGTATGGTATTCTAGGATTCTGTAAATATTCTGTATTCTGAGATTCTGGAAATATTCTGTATGGTACATTCTGGGACACTGGAAATATTCTGTATGAGATATTCTGGGATTTTGAAAAAATTCTATATGCTGGGATTCTGTAAATATTCTATACTACATATTCTGGGATTCTGTAAATATTCTATATTCTGGGATTCTGTAAATGTTCTGTATTCTGGGATTCTGTGAATATTCTATATTATGAGATTCTGTAAATGCTCTGTATGATATTCTGGGATTCTGTAAATGTTCGATATTCTGGGATTCTCTAAGTGTTCTGTATTCTATATTCTGGGATTCTGTAAATGTTCTGTACGATATTCTGGGATTCTGTAAATGTTCTGTACTCTGTACCCTGGGATTCTGGAAATATTTTGTATCCTGGGATTCTCTAACTGTTCTGTAGGATATTCTGGGATTCTGTAAATGTTCTGTACTCTGTATCCTGGGATTCTGGAAATGTTCTGTAGGATATCCTGGGATCCTGTGGATGCTCTCTATGATACCCTGGGATCCTGTGGATGCTCTGTGTGATACCCTGGGATCCTGTGGATGCTCTGTGTGATATCCTGGGATCCTGTGGATGTTCTGTAGGATACCCTGGGATCCCGTGGATGCTCTGTACCCTGGCACTCCGTAAGCTCTCGAGCAGAGGCTGCAGGAGCAGCTGATGCTGCAGGGCTGCCAGAGCCGGGCTGGGACGGGCAGGGAGGAGGAGGAGGAGGAAGAGCAGGGATGAGCTACAGGACAGAGCAGGGATGAGCTACAGACAGAGCAGGGCTGGAAGGAAACCCGGGGGAGATGTGGGAGAAGATGAGATCCCAGAGGTGTCACAGAGAGAGGTGAAAGCAGGGCCTGTCTGGGATCAGAGGGGTTTGTGAGAGGGTGTCAGAGCCGGAGCCAAGGGCACAGAGCCACCCATGTCCCCGCTGGCACTGACCGTGCCCTGCTCCGCAGGCGGCTCACAAAGGTGGCAATCAGGGCGTGCTCCTCCCGGGAGGGCTCGGGGCTGCTGCTCTGCTGGCACCTGGCAGGGCAGGGAGAGCAAAAACAACAGAAACAGCGTCAATGCGGGCAGGGCTGGGCCTGGGGGGGTGTCAGATGGAAAAGGGGCTCCGTGGGGCACAGGGGGAGGACACTGCTGCAGTGAGGGGACACTGGGGGACAGCCAGGCACTGGCACAGCTGCCCAGGGAGTGTGGGGTGCCCATCCCTGGAGGTGCCCAGGGAATTCCTGGGTGTGGCACTGAGTGCTCTGGGCTGGGGACAAGGTGGGGATTGGGCACTGGTGGGACTGGATGGGTTGGGAGGGATTTTCCAGCCTCAGGGATTCGGGGATTCTGGAAATATTCACTGAGGCAGCTGTGGAGCCTCTGAATTCCCAGTGGGATCTTTAAGGAAGAACACGGCTGGGCACTGAAGGATCCAACCCCAGAATCACAGAATCCAGAACAGTGAGGCTGGAAAAGCCCTCCCAGACCTCCCAGTCCAAGCTGTGACCAATCCCCCCTTGTCCCCAGGGCTCTGAGTGCCAGGGGTGAGTTGAGGGGTTGGGGATGGGTTGGACTTGATGGGCTTGGAGGTCTCTTCCAGCCTGGAGATTGTGTGTGGGATTGTGTGTGGGACTGTGTGTGTGATTGTGTGTGATTGATTCTGTGATTGTGTGATTGATTCCCTGATTGTGTGACTGATTCCCCATTTCTGTGATTGATTCCCCATTTCTGTGACTGATTCCCCGTTTCTGTGATTGATTCCCCATTTCTGTGATTGATTCCCTGATTCTGTGACTGATTCCCCATTTCTGTGATTGATTCCCCATTTCTGTGATTGATTCCCCATATCTGTGATTGATTCCCCATTTCTGTGACTGATTCCCCATTTCTGTGATTGATTCCCCATTTCTGTGATTTATTCCTGGATTCTGTGATTGATTCCCCAATTCTGTGACTGAATCCCCAATTCTGTGATTGAGTCCCCAATTCTGTAATTGATTCCCCATTTCTGTGATTGATTCCCCATTTCTGTGATTGATTCCCCAGTTCTGTGATTGATTCCCCATTTCTGTGATTGATTCCCCAATTCTGTGATTGATTCCCCATTTCTGTGATTGATCCCCCATTTCTGTGATCGATTCCCCATTTCTGTGACTGATTCCCCATTTCTGTGATTGATTCCCTGATTCTGTGATTGATTCCCCATTTCTGTGATTGATTCCCTGATTCTGTGATTGATTCCCCATTTCTGTGATTGATTCCCCATTTCTGTGATTGATTCCCCAGTTCTGTGACTGATTCCCCAGTTCTGTGACTGCCCCAGCACCCAGGAAACTTTTCCAAATGCAGAATTCACTGTTCTGCTGTGAGCAAACAGGACCCCCATTCCCACACAAACACACTTTTCTCCCAGGTCATGTGCAGGGACACGCTGGGGGCACAGCCAGGGCTTGGAAAAAAGAGGTAAAAAAAGGAATTACCCACGTGGAGCACCAGGGCAAGGAGGGGTTTGAGGGGGGACACTGAACATTCACCAAACTGAGGCACCCCTGGGTGACCCCTGCAAGGCTGAGCAGCTGCAATGGGGCTGTGGCTGTGGCCTCAGCAGATTCCCAGAGCTCTCCCTTTCCCAGGGCTCATTAAATCCCCCCAGGATTTAACCCCCAGGATGGAGGGGCAGCAGCACTGAGCAGCACCCCTGGGAACATCCCGTTCACCTGGGTTGGACCTGCTGCCAGCCCAGGTCTGAATTCCCATTTCTGTTTCTCCATGCCTGGGGGTGCCCAGCTCCCCCCTGGAGCATCCCTCTGCTGCCTCCAAAAATATCAGAGAATTAAGGGAAGGATTGGCCCTATCCCATGGCTGGGACACCTCCCACTGTCCCAGGGTGTCCCAGTGTCCAGCCTGGCCTTGGGCACTGCCAGGGATGCAGGGTGGGCACCCTGTGCCAGGGCCTGCCCACCCTGCCAGGGAACAATTCCCAATTCCCAATCTCCCACCCAGCCCTCCCCTCTGGCACTGGGATCCATTCCCTGTGTCCTGCCAGGGAACAATTCCCAATTCCCAATCTCCCACCCAGCCCTGCCCTCTGGCAGTGGGAGCCATTCCCTGGGTCCTGTCCCTCCATCCTTGTCCCCAGTCCCTCTGCAGCTCTCCTGGAGCCCCTCCAGGCCCTGCCAGGGGCTCTGAGCTCTCCCTGATCCTTCTCCTCCCCAGGGATCCCCTCCATGCCCAGCAGTGCCCGGTGCAGTTGGCAGCCTGCAGGAGCAGTTCTCTTTCCCAATAAATTCCATTTTCTCCTCCTTCCAAAACTGCCCCCACACCAAAGGATCCCTCTTTGCTCCATGTTTGGGGTAAATAAAGCAAATCCTGGGGCTGGCTCCTGGGGGGAGCTGGGGCCCTACAGCACCAAGAGGAACCCCTGATGGAGAAACAAAGATGTGAGGGAGAAACAACTGATGGAGAAACAAAGATCTGATGGAGGAACAAGGATCTGATGGAGAAACAAGAATCTGATGGAGAAATAAATAACTGATGGAGAAAAAAAGATCTGATAGAGAAACAAAGATCTGATGGAGGAACAAAGATCTGATGGAGGAACAAGGATCTGATGGAGAAACAAGGATCTGATGGAGAAACAACTGATGGAGGAACAAAGATCTGATGGAGGAACAAAGATCTGATGGAGAAACAAGGATCTGATGGAGAAACAAAAATCTGATGGAGAAACAAAGATCCAATGGAGAGATAAACAACTGATGGAGAAACAAAGATCTGATGGAGAAACAACTGATGGAGAAACAAAGATCTGATGGAGGAACAAAGATCTGATGGAGAAACAAGAATCTGATGGAGAAACAACTGATGGAGGAACAAAGATCTGATGGAGGAACAAAGATCTGATGGAGAAACAAGAATCTGATGGAGAAACAAAGATCTGATGGAGAAACAAAGATCTGATGGAGAAACAAAGATCTGATGGAGAAACAACTGATGGAGAAACAAAGATCCAGTGGAGAGATAAACAACTGATGGAGAAAAAAAGATCTGATGGAGGAACAAGGATCTGATGGAGAAACAAAGATCTGATGGAGAAACAAAGATCTGATGGAGAAACAACTGATGGAGAAACAAAGATCTGATGGAGGAACAAAGATCTGATGGAGAAACAAGAATCTGATGGAGAAATAAATAACTGATGGAGAAACAAACCCCTGGTGGAGGAACAAAGATCTGATGGAGAAACAAGAATCTGATGGAGAAAGAAGGATCTGATAGAGAAACAACTGATGGAGAAACAAAGATCCAATGGAGAGATAAACAACTGATGGAGAAAAAAAGATCTGATGGAGAAACAAAGATCTGATGGAGAAACAAAGATCTGATGGAGAAACAAAGATCTGATGGAAAAAGAAAGAAGTGAGGGAGAAACAAACCTCTGATGGAGAAACAAAGATCCAATGGAGAGATAAACAACTGATGGAGAAAAAAAGATCTGATGGAAGAACAAAGATCTGATGGAGGAACAAGAATCTGATGGAGAAATAAATAACTGATGGAGAAAAAAAGATCTGCTGGAGGAACAAGCCTCTGATGGAGGAACAAACCACCCAAAATGCTCATCAGAACCAGAGGGGTTGGGCAGGACACAACCTCTGGCTCCCCACTGTAAATCCAAGAGATTTCCAGATTTTCCCAGAGATCCAGGAGACCCCTGGGAATCTCTGCTGTGCTTTGCTGATGCCCTTGCAGCGTTTCCCAGCCCTGAGGGGGCTCAGGGACGGGTTGAGCCCAACCCCTGCAGTGCTGAAGGTGAAGGCAGGCAGGACTGCAGCTTCTCACGTTTCCATCCATCATTTCTCCCAGCACAGAGAACATATTGTCATTTTAGGAACACATCTGGCTTTCAAGCAGAAGCCAGGGGGGAAGTGGCCACTTTGAGCAGCTCCAGGCACAGAAATGCAGCTCCCAACCCCCTCCAGCTGCAATTCCAGCTGCAATTGCAGCTGCCAGGACATGCCAGAGCCTCTGGCAGGGGAAATGAACCCCTTCATTCCAGCCCTGCCTCGGGGGCCGAGCTGGGGCAGGAGAAGCTGCAGTAAATCCTGGGAGAGCGCTGAGGGGCTAAAAGGGATTTTCCAGGGGAACAGCCCCTGTTCCCTCCCCTCTCTCCACCTGCACTTCTCCAGGAGCCAGGGGACAGAGCCCCCTCCCAGCTGCTGGATGGCTCCAGGCCCCAGCCTGCTCCAAACTGGGGAATTCCAGCCCAAAAAGGGGTGGGAAGGCGCTGAGAGACACACGGAGCCTCCTGCAAGCTGGGGCAGGAGCCAGGGATTCACTCCTGGCTGCCCAGGGCTGCTCCCCCTGCTTTGGGGCCACTGGGCCTGGAAACGGCCCAGACAGGGCCCCCCCAGCAGCCAGAACCCCCAAATCCCTGAAACTGGGGAAATCCCTCCCAGCTGCAGGAATAGTTATTTACTCACCCATTCCTGCAGGAATACTTATTTACTCACTCCTGAAGGAACAGTTATTTACCCATTCCTGCAGGAATAGTTATTTACTCACCCATTCCCTGCAGGAATAGTTATTTACTCACCCCTTCCCTGCAGGAATAGTTATTTACTCACCCATTCCTGCAGGAAGAGTTATTTACTCACTCATTCCTGCAGGAATAGTTATTTACTCACCCCTTCCCTGCAGGAATAGTTATTTACTCACCCATTCCCGCAGGAAGAGTTATTTACTCACTCATTCCTGCAGGAATAGTTATTTACTCACCCATTCCCTGCAGGAATAGTTATTTACTCACCCATTCCTGCAGGAATAGTTATTTACTCACTCCTGAAGGAATACTTATTTACCCATTCCTGCAGGAATAGTTATTTACTCACCCATTCCTGCAGGAATAGTTATTTACTCATCCATTCCTGCAGGAATAGTTATTTACTCACCCATTCCCTGCAGGAATAGTTATTTATTCACCTATTCCTTGCAGGAATAGTTATTTACTCACCCATTCCTGCAGGAATAGTTATTTACTCACTCCTGCAGGAATACTTATTTACTCACCCCTTCCTTGCAGGAATAGTTATTTACTCACCCATTCCTGCAGGAATAGTTATTTACTCACCCCTTCCTTGCAGGAATAGTTATTTACTCACCCATTCCCAAGGAATAGTTATTTACTCACCCATTCCTGCAGGAATTGTTATTTACTCACCCCTTCCCTGCAGGAATACTTATTTACCCATTCCTGCAGGAATAGTTATTTACTCACCCATTCCTGCAAGAATAGTTATTTACTCACCCATTCCTGCAGGAATAGTTATTTACTCACTCCTGAAGGAATAGTTATTTACTCACCCATTCCTGCAGGAATAGTTATTTACTCACTCCTGAAGGAATAGTTATTTACCCCTTCCCTGCAGGAATACTTATTTACTCATCCATTCCTGCAGGAATTGTTATTTACCCATTCCCTGCAGGAAGAGTAATTTACCCATTCCTGCAGGAATAGTTATTTACTCACCCCTGAAGGAACAGTTATTTACCCGTTCCCTGCAGGAATAGTTATTTACCCATTCCTGCAGGAATTGTTATTTACCCATTCCTGCAGGAATAGTTATTTACTCACCCCTTCCTGCAGGAATAGTTATTTACTCACCCCTTTCCTGCAGGAATAGTTATTTACTCACCCATTCCTGCAGGAATAGTTATTTACTCACCCATTCCCTACAGGAATTGTATTTACCCATTCCTGCAGGAATAGTTATTTACTCACCCCTTCCCTGTAGGAATAGTTATTTACTCACCCATTCCTGCAGGAATAGTTATTTACTCACCCATTCCTGCAGGAATAGTTATTTACTCACTCATTCCTGCAGGAATAGTTTTTTACCCATTCCCTGCAGGAATAGTTATTTACCCCTTCCCTGCAGGAATAGTTATTTACTCACCCCTTCCCTGCAGGAATAGTTATTTACTCACCCTTCCCTGTAGGAATAGTTAGTTACTCACCCATTCCTGCAGGAATAGTTATTTACTCACACCTTCCCTGCAGGAATACTTATTTACTCAACCCTTCCCTACAGGAATAGTTATTTACCCATTCCTGCAGTAAGTGTTATTTACTCACTCATTCCTGCAGGAATAGTTATTTACTCACCCATTCCCTGCAGGAATAGTTATTTACTCACCATCCCTGCAGGAATAGTTATTTACTCACCACCCCTGAAGGAATAGTTATTTACCCATTCCTGCAGGAATAGTTATTTACTCACTCCTGCAGGAATACTTATTTACCCATTCCTGCAGGAATTGTTATTTACCCGTTCCCTGAAGGTCTGGGAGGGTCAGGGGAGCTGGAACTCCTGGAATTCTCCCCACATTTCCCAGGAACAGCCCCACTGAGGCTCCTGTACCTTTTGGTTGGCGTGGGTGCTCCGGAGGACGCGTGGGTCACCATGGCCTCGTTCATGTTACTCACGGGCCTGGGGGGGCTGCAAGAGAAGAGACAGGGATCATCCTCTTAGGGGGCAGAAAATATAAAAGAAAACAGCCCAGCAGTGCCAGGGATCCTGTCAGAGCAGAATTCACACAGGGAATGGTCAGTGAGGGGGATGGTCAGCAGGGAATGGTCAGTGAGGGGATGGTCAGCAGGGAATGGTCAGTGAGGGGATGGTCAGCAGGGGATGGTCAGTGAGGGAATGGTCAGTGAGGGGATGGTCAGCAGGGGATGGTCAGTGAGGGAATGGTCAGTGAGGGGATGGTCAGCAGGGGATGGTCAGCAGGGAATGGTCAGTGAGGGGATGGTCAGCAGGGGATGGTCAGCAGGGAAGGTCAGTGAGGGGATGGTCAGTGAGGGGATGGTCAGTGAGGGAATGGTCAGTGAGGGGAATGGTCAGTGAGGGAATGGTCAGCAGAGAATGGTCAGTGAGGGGATGGTCAGTGAGGGGAATGGTCAGTGAGGGGATGGTCAGCAGGGGATGGTCAGTGAGGGGAATGGTCAGTGAGGGAATGGTCAGTGAGGGGATGGTCAGTGAGGGGAATGGTCAGCAGGGGATGGTCAGCAGGGAATGGTCAGTGAGGGGATGGTCAGTGAGGGGATGGTCAGTGAGGGGAATGGTCAGCAGGGAATGGTCAGTGAGGGGAATGGTCAGCAGGGGATGGTCAGTGAGGGAATGGTCAGTGAGGGAATGGTCAGTGAGGGGATGATCAGTGAGGGGATGGTCAGTGAGGGAATGGTCAGTGAGGGGAATGGTCAGTGAGGGAATGGTCAGCAGAGAATGGTCAGTGAGGGGATGGTCAGTGAGGGGAATGGTCAGTGAGGGGATGGTCAGCAGGGGATGGTCAGTGAGGGGAATGGTCAGTGAGGGAATGGTCAGTGAGGGGAATGGTCAGTGAGGGGAATGGTCAGCAGGGGATGGTCAGTGAGGGGAATGGTCAGCAGGGGATGGTCAGTGAGGGGAATGGTCAGTGAGGGGATGGTCAGTGAGGGGATGGTCAGTGAGGGAATGGTCAGTGAGGGGATGGTCAGCAGGGAATGGTCAGTGAGAGGAATGGTCAGTGAGGGGAATGGTCAGCAGGGGATGGTCAGTGAGGGGATGGTCAGCAGGGAATGGTCAGCATGGAATGGTCAGTGAGGGAATGGCCCTGTGCTCCCAGCTCTGTTTGGGGACAGTGAAAGGACAGGGACAACCCACTGCAAAACACCAGAGCTGATGGTGAACCATAAAATCCACACCAGAGAGCAGAGAAGTGGGGCTGGAATAACCCTGTCCCAAAAAAACCCAACAAACTGAGGGCAGGGATTGGAAAACAGAGTGTGACAGGGACAGGGACGGGGACAAGGACAGGGACAGGGAAGGGACAGGGACAGGGATGCACGGGGTGGGGTTCCAGGGTGTCCACTGGAGCCAGGATCCCGGTGGATCCCTTCCCTCCTAGAACATTCCATGGCTCCTGGGTGAAATCCCTGCACCCAGCTGGAGCTGCAGACATCCCTGGGCAGTGCAGAACCCCGGGAAGGAACCCCAGGCAGGTTTTGGGGCCTGAGGGGGCTCTGTGTGCTTGGCTCTGCTGCATTCCCAGCCCATTCCAGGAGCCACAGTCCCAGGGGGAGGCTGGAAAGGAGGGATGGTTCAGGGAATAACCCCAAAAGCTGGGAAAACATTCTTGCCACGGGCAGAACTGTGATCCCAAACCTCTCTAGCAGCCAGTTATTGGTGCTTTGATGGCAACCTCCACACAGACTGGATTTATTCCCAATAAAAGCAAGGCACGGTGAACAAGCAAAGGCAGCAGGAAAACAGAGAGCAGGAGCTGAAATGAGGCAGGGCTGGCGAGCTCCTGGCTGGAATCTGTACAGCCCTTTGACAAAATCCCTGATTTCTGCTGCCATTTCCCACTCTGCACAGGCTGAGATCCCAAGAGATCCCTGCTGCACCTGGGGCTGAGGTGAAATATCTGCCAGGACACAATCCCTGAGCCTGTGAAATACTGGGGGAGCTGGAGGGGTCCTGAGCTCACCAGGGGGAAACTCCCAAGCAGCTTCCAACAGGAGAGGACCCAGGAATAAGGAATCACCTCCTTCCTGGGACAGCATTTCTGGTTTCTGGGGGGGCTCACCTGGAGAGGAGAAGGATCCAGGGAGAGCTCAGAGCCCCTGGCAGGGCCTGGAGGGGCTCCAGGAGAGCTGCAGAGGGACTGGGGACAAGGGACAGAGGGACAGGACACAGGGAATGGCTCCCACTGCCCCAGGGCAGGGCTGGGTGGGAGATTGGGAATTGGGAATTGTGCCCTGGCAGGGTGGGCAGGGCTGGGATGGAATTCCCAGAGCAGCTGTGGCACCCCTGGATCCCTGGAATGCCCAAGGCCAGGCTGGACACTGGGGCACCCTGGGACAGTGGAAGTGTCCCTGCCATGGCAGGGGTGGCACTGGGTGGGCTCTGAGGTCCCTCCCCACCCAAACCAGGTTGGAATTCACTGCCAGGGAGCCAGGAGGGACAGAGAGCACACAGATCCAGCTGTGCCAGCTGTGCCAGCCCTGGGAGCCGGGGCCCCAGCGAGCTGCAGGCAGGGCTGGCAGTGCCCAGAGCCTGTTCTGCCCTGAAACGAGCAGTGGGAACACCAGAAACGGGCTCTGCACTGCAACTCGGGGTTTAAAAGTGCCACAAATCCACCCCAAAGGAGTTTGCTGGTGCTGGACCTCAGCTGGGCCAGGGGATTTTTGGCCTGGGGGATGTTCCTGGAGCCTGAGAGGCACAGGAAGATGGGCTGGGAGAGTCCCCAAAAGCTCCTGCAGGAAGGGGGGACCTGTTCCCCGTCACTGCTGCTGCTCAGTACAAGGAGCTGCTCACAGCCCAGCCCTGAGCAGCCCCGGGCTGCTGGCACTGCCTCAGTTTCCCTCCTGAGCCAGGAACAAAGCCCTCCCCAAAAACCGGGGTGACCTGAATCCCCCAGGCCGTGCAAAGCAATTAATTCTGCAAATGGAACGAGCCTGAGGAGGGAAAGGTGCTCGTGGTGTCCCTGTGTGGAAAATGTGTATTTTATGATTGGCTTTTTGCAGATATTACAATGAATACTACATGTGCAATGCTAGAAAGTTATGCTGTATTAATTCTCTTAAGTAGTGTGTTAAATATATTCCTAGGTTATAACACAATGTTAAAATAGAAACTCTGAGATGTAAGATACTTTTTAACTAGCTCAAAAAAGGGATGAGATAGCCAAGAAACTTTTCACACAGAGATAACAGCAATACAAAACCCGAAGAGTTACAGCCTCCTTATCAGAACAAACACCCTTCCACCTTCTCTCTGTCTTTATGGAACCACCAGGATTAAGGGGAAGAAGTTGACAAAAAACAGAATAATTCTTAATTTGCAAGGAGTTTATGCATCATGTATGAGATATATGAATATGCAACAGGCTGCTGCTTTTAAGGTTATTCCTTTGTTCACAAGGTGTGGTTTTGGCAGCTCAGTGCCCAAAAACATCCGGATGTCCATAATTCTTTGCTTTTTACTGTCTCATAGGAATTTTTTATAGAGGAGCACAGAGGAAAGAAAGAGAAAACAATTTCTATTTCTGCTCCTTGTTTTGCCACGTGGAATATAGAGAATTGTTTACCTGGGGTGAGTGCTTGGTTGGATTCTGGTGAGGATTGTTTGGGCCTGATGGCCAATCCAATTTACTTGTATCTAGACTCTCGAGAGGAAGGGCACGAGCTGTTAGTTAGATATGGTGGTTAGAACAAGAAAGTTTAAAGTTTTAGTATCTCCTTTTATAGAGTATATTAATGTATTAGAGTATAGTTATAATAAATATATTATATAATATAGGATATTATGTGTTATATATATATAAAATATTATATTATATAATATATAATAATAATATTATTATATAATTATATAATAATCATTCAGCCTTCTGGAGTCAGAAATCATTTCTTCCCACCGGGTTCACCTGATTTACAATCCAGCAGCTCCTCCTGGATCTCACTACTTCCCAACAGAGTTTGTAAAGAAAAACCAGGGACTGGTTAAAACCAGCAGGGATTGGTTAAAACCAGCAGGGACTGGTTAAAACCAGCAGGGACTGGTTAAAACCAGCAGGGACTGGTTAAAACCAGCAGGGATTGGTTAAAACCAGCAGGGACTGGTTAAAACCAGCAGGGACTGGTTAAAACCCGCAGGGACTGGTTAAAACCAGCAGGGATTGGTTAAAACCAGCAGCCAGCAGTCCTGCAGGGAGGGCACCGAGGGCAAACACGGCCAGGGAGTGCTGAGGCTGCAGCACAAACGTCCCCTAAAAACAGGAATACAGCTGGGGAGCTCATGGGGAGCTCTTGGGGACTCATCACCTCATCCAGGGCAGCAGCAGAGCAGCTTCCAGGAAAAATGGAACTGAAATGTGGGAATGTGGGAGTATAGAAATATGGGAATGTGGGAATGGGGCAGATTCATCCCTGCTCTGTTCCACACTGGGAATCAGCCAAGTCCTGCCCTTTGTTCAGCAGGGCACTGGGAAGGAGAAACGTGGCTCTGCTTCCCTGGACAATCCCAAAATCCCAGAGTCACTGAAATGGGGGAAATCCCTCCCAGCCCATCCAGTCCAACCTGTGCCAATCCCCACCTTGTCCCAGCCCAGAGCTCTGAGTGCCACATCCAGGAATTCCCTGGACACCAAACCCGCCTGGGCAGTGCCAAGGCCTGAGCTCCCTTTCCAGGCAGAAATTCCTGCTGTGCCCACCCTGAGCCTGCCCTGGCCCAGCCTGAGCCCATTTCCCCTTGTCCTGTCCCTGTTCCCTGGAGCAGAGCCCGACCCCCCCTGGCTGTCCCCTCCTGTCAGGAGCTGTGCAGAGCCACAAGGTCCCCCCTGAGCCTCCTTTTCTCCAGGCTGAGCCCCTTCCCAGCTCCCCCAGCCCCTCCTGGGGCTCCGTTCCCTTCCCTGGACACGCTCCAGCCCCTCCAGGTCTCTCCTGGCAGGAGGGGCC